TAACCAGCAGATAACGCAAAGCAGCACTCTCCAACCAGGTCACTAGTACATGAGGAGGAGTAGACTCAGGATCTTTCTTCTGATTCATCCATACCTGAGGCTCCTAGTCAGACCCCCGGCTTTGGAGAGCGTCTTCAGGCTCTTGAGGATGTAGTGGTTGCTATCAGAGCTAATACTGCTGCCATTCGAGCCGATACTGTAGCCCACCGAGCTAATTTTGCTACAATCCGCACGAATGTCTTGGCTGCACTCCGAGACTTATCTCGCGATATCCGCGGAGATCGCCCTACCCGTCCTGCCTCATCCACATGAGACTTCCAGTTCTTCTATCTTTTTAAACTACACATCTGTGCTCTATACTTCATTTTTGTCACTGTATATTATTTGCAGCCGGTCTGTCGGCTTTCATCTTTTGATGTATCCAGTACTTTATTTTCTTTATATATGTTTTTGTTATGGATGTCATGTGTTATATTCTTATATCTGTCTGTTTGACTCCATCAGGTGCATCACAGTAACTACAGTGAGAGAGAATGCTACACAATTTTCAGGACCACCCTTATACCTCTCTCACTGTTTTATTTCATTTACACTTACATGTCCATTATGCACTGATTATCCCTTTTTGTTATCTGATGAGTTTATCCGAGTGCCGAATTTCAGGACCATAGTTAATCCCAAGTTTGAGGGGGCCATGCCACCCACTTTGGATACTTCAGTCCCAGCCATTCTTTGCCTTAATTGCTCCGGTATACTCTATCCTTTTGTTCTCTTTGCACATTGAGGACATTATACCGTTTAAGTTTGGGGGTAACGGTGTATGTTACAGTGTTTGCTTTTAAATTCAAAATTTTGAGCATGACTTGTGTATTTGAGAGATTTTCTATGATTGGTCCATATCTAGCTATGATTTTGATCTTTTGAGGAGTATATTGCTTAAAATTTAAAAATTGCTTGACTTGAGAGTCCAATACTCCTTCTATGCCTTATGGATGCCATTTAAGAGTAAATTTTTTGAAAGATTGATATCTTGCTTGCACTTGTGGTCCACATCATCTTGATTTTATGATTGTTTTGAGATTCACTCTAGTATTCTACACTAGTACAAGCGCACACTAGCATTCATTTGTGGGGTACATGCTTTGTTGATTATTGAATTGGTTATATCCTAATTAAGCTAGTAGTGCATTGAAAGTTTTCATTCTTGATATAAGTGGATAACAACCCCTTTTCACTAAGTAGCAGGGATTCTAGCTTCATCAAGCACTGAACTTCTCGCGCCGAAAGGTGGAGGGCCCAAACTCTAGGTTAATAATTGAACTTGATTAAAAAAAAAAAAAAAAGAAAAAAAAAAAAAGAAAAAAAAAGAAGTTACAAAAGCAATAAAAAAGTGAGGACTTCTCCCAAATGGTGAAAAGTTGGAAATGATTAGATGGAGGTTGTTTTGATTTGTAAACTAGTTGATTTGAGCTTGTAAGTTCGTAGGGATGTTTGAACACCTAATGCCCTAAAGCCGTCTGGTTTGGGAGTCATTGACCTAACACTCGACCTCATGAATCGCTAGAAAGCTTAAGAGATCAACACATTGCACTATGTTTCCATCTTTGATCCTAAAAAAAAAAAAAATTGAGTGAAAAGAATAAGTGCACCTAGAACAATAAAGATTTAATAAAAGGGCCGCTTTTTGTCTTGATGATCGGTACTAGATTTTTGTGCTAGTTTGAGGGTAAGGATGTGATCATTTCTTTAGTTGGGTAAGATAGCAACATATTTGATGCCGGTCCACTCAAAAAAGATTCTAGAGTTGTTTTGATTTGCATGATCATTCTCATGATGTGTGGAGGACCATACTTGTTTGCTTGATGTTGAAATTTTGGGAGATTGCTTGGAAAGGATTGAAAAATTACATACTTGAGGTAGTTTTCTCCCGATACTTGTTTGCAATATTGGTACCTCTTTTGTGAGAATGAGCTTAATGTTTGTGGGTATCATTTCTAGAAACCCTTACGAGACTTCACTCGTCCACTAGGGGTAACCTAGGGGTTTTAAAAGACTTGTTGCATATACTAAGTGCAATCGTGTTCCCTACGAAAGTGGCGTTATCCATTTATTGCTTTCTAGTTCATAGTTGTATAGTTGTTCATTTCATTCCTTTACTTTCCAGTTCATTACTAGGGACTAGCAATATTTAAGTTTGGGGGTGTGATGAACGCTGAAAAGTGTGTATTTAAACCCCTTAAGCTTAGGCATTCTAGTACCTTTATCTATCTTACTTTACCATTTTAGATTGATTTCATATTATTTTCATTTTCAAGCACTTATCCCGAAAATAAGCTAACTCAGCCAAACAAGAGCAAAAATGAAGCAATTCTGAGATGAATCAAAGAAATGAGCCAAGTGGAAGCAAAAGGAAGAAAAAGGTGGAAATCAACATCTTCGATCGATCTCAGATCAAAGTTTGATCGATCCAACATGATCGATCTCAGCACTTTAAGATGGATCAGAGCCATGATGAAATTTTCAGAGATCTCAAAAGTTCGATCGATCCAACATCATTCTTCGATCGATCGAACTGCCTTGTCCTTATCCAAATAATTGATCTTATCTAGTTGTACCACCCTACCAACCACTTTTGTTCTTTTCCGAAAAATATCTTCAAAATATCTCAGATTTGTCTTTATCTAAAAAGCGCCGCCATTGAAGATCAATCCAACCTAAGTTCGATAAATCTCAACTATGTTCGATCGATCCAAGTCCAAGGTTCGATCGATCGAACTTCCTCCAGTGCAAAAAAGTTAAATCTCCAGCTCACAAAAAGTTACCCTTTATCCAATCATTGGGGAATATTTTGTGCACGACCCCAGCTGATTTTGTGTGTCATTTGACCTACCTATATAAGGATAACGCTTACTTTTTACATGATATCACCTCATACCACATCATATCATCTCATACCTTGTAAGAACTCTTAGAGAGCAAGCTTAGAGGAGGAGGAGGCTAGAGACACCATTGGAGACTCTTCATCAACCAAGGAGCAAATCTCTACCATGGAGTTAGCCCTTGAGGGTTAGAGAAGCACTACCATAAGTGGCTAGACATCCTCTTGGGGCTAGAGTTAGCCCCAAGCATGCTTTCTACATCTTGATTTTGTGTATTATTGAGGGATTAATGTTGTAATACATGTTTTGGCACTTTTATATATATAGATCTTGTTTGTTCAATGATTTATGTGGTTTAATGCTTCCAATTGATCATTTCATTCTATCCATATGTCTATATATGCTAGAATAAATGTTCATGTGTTTGTCTCTATTTGTTGTGTTATTGATGCATGTCTATGTGTATTAATGCCTTAAATCTAGAGATTGTCAAAACATTGTGCTTAAAGGAATGCTATTGTAATTTCTAGATGGTCCATGCTCATTTCTTGATGGATTGTGCCTCTCCCTTAGCTTAATTAGTTTAATTTCATGTCATTAGCTTAATTGTATTGTAGTGGTAGCATAGTTGTTAGATGGGAGGGCAATCCATGCTTGTTGTTTGATGTTCCATACTTTTAAATGCAAGTAGCATATGTCTCTAACCTTGTGGTGTATTTGGCTTGTGAGCTTAATGAAAGGATTAATGACTTGCTAGATATATTGTGTTTTTCACTTGTTATTTAGACAATATATGCTTAATTGTTAGATATATTATACTTTTCACATGTTGATTAAACAATGTATACTTAATTGGTCACTCTTGCTAGTTGAATCAACCAAACACACACACACACATCACTATTGCAACACACATTTCCCTCGTTAGTTACTTGTTAAGGGTGTAGAAAAGTATTGTTTGGTGGTGACCTCTAAACCCCAAGATCTCTCTCTCTTACTTACTCTTTGTTGCATTCAATTATTTAGTTTAATTTGTTCTCTAGTTTAATCAACCAACCAACTATTTGTTTGATCACTCGACCTACTAACCCTAATAGTGATTCCATAACCAAATTTGACTCCAATCCCTTAGGACAATCCCTACTCACCCTAATTATATTTTTAGTGAAGCTAGTAGTGGCTTTTATAAATGTAACACTTGGCCCTCGCCTTATTGCACGCTCTTAAGTTTGTTGTGCGGCGACGCACCACTGTGATTAATGTGTTCATCATTTTACCAACTGTATACTGAGATTATAAAGGTGTGATGACATTGAAAAGGGTTCTTACAGAAGATACTCTGTAAGTTGACAGATTTACCCTTTGAAGAGGGATTAAAGTGTATTTAAGCTGAATGGTTGACGGAAGTTGCTATTCACTGTCAAATACGTATTTGTGCAAGTATGTTAAATTGAGACAAGGCTATGGGAACCTAGCTTGAGCATCAACTGAAGCTGCATTGTGTTTTAACAATTCTATCCTTTAATTGCAAAAAAGTGAAAACTAAGGTTGTACATTGTTCTACTTGAGGCTGTGTATTGCATTCTGTTATTGTTGTTACAGCTGAAGTAGTATGTTCTATATGTATTGATATCTTACTCTATTGGTGATTTAGCTACTGAGAGCTTGTAAGTCCAAGCAGGGTTGCTTTGGACAGGGGGAGTACATCTGTGCACATTAGTGAGCTAGTGTGTGAGTATTGGTTGTGAAAACTAGTGTCTATTCTTGTACAAGGGTGTATGCAGAGAGTGAGACATCTGAGTGTGTAACAAGATACTTGCAGCTAGTGGATGCTTTTTTGGCTGAGGCCAAGAACCAAGGTTTTTCCCTATTGAGAGGGTTTCCTTTGTAATTTTGTGTTATGTGCTTGAGTTGTGATTGATTGGTTTTGTTTTCAAAGAAAAAAGTTTTTAATTAGACCATTTCACCCCTCCCCTGTTTATTTTATATGACAAAGGTTTTGTTTATATTCAATACACTCCTATCATTTAGGGGAAAAAAAAAAAAAACGAATGTTAAGTAATGTGCTGAAAATAGTTATGCAACAATACTCACATTCACTAACACGTGGTAGGGGATTGTTCAACTATGACTACTGGCACCTGCATCTCCGGATTGAAGGGCTTCATTGCAATTCTACAACACAATTATGAGAAGTATTACGTATACATAATTTAATACACACAACTGGTATTACTTATGAAACTACTTGGAAAACAGTAAAGGGATAAAAGTACCTGAAGCTGAACTGTTCGTTTAAGTGATTTTCTCTTATCGAGACTCTTTAGCTCCATGGTCGGTTTTAACCTCTTAAATTTTCCTTTCCGTGTATCTTTACGCTTGAGGCCATTGGGGATTTTGTCAGTATTTATATTGCTCCCGTGATATTGGTTTTTGCCTTTACCAGCAATATAAATTGCATTCCTCTCAGCAAACCTATGCCTACAACTTGATTGGGCAATTTTTTTCCACTCCATGGCTTTCACTAACAAATCATTGTATCTGTCCTTATCCTCCGATACAATGGACGAAATTTCAGTTAGAATACGACAAAGTACCCTGTGCCGTCTCCTAACCTCAATTTTTGGATCAGCATCAGCAATCACTTCACCGGAAAGATTTTCCTCCAAGCTGCCATCTCTTGCACTTCTAGTCCACCTTCTTAATATATATCGACGAGACAATGTATTGGCAAACATGGAGTCCTTTAGGATTTTCAAACTATGCCTGCACATAATACCCTCCCTTTCAAATTTACAACAAGAACAAAACAATTCATCTTTTGATGTCCTCGTGACATCGCGTTGCATTCCATCCTCACCAACAACTTTGTAAACATGGCCTCCGTTGCCCTCGATAGGACTGCAACCAATGATCCTCTGACTGGCACCAGCTGCTAAGAACTCCTCCTGGAAACAATTAAATATAACCTTTGTGTACAGGTTTGCCGCCTTTACTAATATGTTACAGTTTATTTTCAGTTGAGGTAGATTGTGGAGCAACCCATACTTGGCTACACACTCCTTGTAATGTTTGTCAGACAACAGCCTTTCAAAGTGTGTGAAAAAATCTGGAAGAATTAGTTGCCTGGATAAGTATGCCTTCAAGCAACCATTGAAGTTTTCACTCAGTTGTGTGCTGTGGATACCCGCGAACCAGGCATGTTTAATAAATGCCATGGCCCATCTATGTTTTAAACCTAACAGATTTGTAAGCCACGTGTTACCAACAACACTATATTCCGTTATCATTAAATTCCATTCCCTGGTAAATTCTTCCTCCTCCTCAATTTGAAACATTAATTTTGATAACACCTTCTTAAAGCCTTGCACACGTCTAAACAAGAACCCTAGATGCTTTTGTGCATTTTGCATTAGGTGCCAAACACACAAATAATGTTTTGTCCCTGGCATCACCTGCATAATTATTTTCTGTAATATAACTACATAATAATGCAATAGGAAATGCAAAGAGTGAAGATCTAAATTGAAATCACCTGCATCAATGCCTTTCCCATTGCAGCATCTTGATCAGTGAAATCGTCTTTGGCGCTTTACCAGACATTGCTTTCAAAAATGTTTCAAACAACCAGACAAACGACTCTGCAGTCTCATCATACATGAACGCTGCTCCAAACACAGCGGTCTCCCGGTGATGATTCAACCCCAAGAAACTTCCAAATGGACTGTTGCCATGTACAACTTTGTGTATTGTGTCAAAACTTACAACATCTCCAAAATTGCAATAATCAACTACCATTTTTGAATCAGCCCAGAATATGTTAGTAATCATTTGATCACTATCCAATTGGAATGCATAAAAGAAAGATAGATCTTCACAAGACTGAGTCTCAAAATAATTCATTAGCCATGCTGCCTCTCCATATTCGAGCTCAGTTTGTCTTCGGGTCCTTATATAGTTTAGCAAATCCAACTTCATGTACCCGACTGATTCTTTTCCACCAGCTTGCCTTCCCATCAAGTCATATGAATTGTGAGGGCTTATTCCTGAATCAGAAGCCAATTCCAAATCAATGGCCTGAACGCGGCTAATTCTACGCTGCGACAGCAGCATGTGCATGCATTCATCAATCATCAATGGATGGTTGTGGCTTTCAACAAATTTTGTAACTTCAAACTTATGTGTATACTTGCAAACTTGAATAAGCATTCGAGTAAGGCAACCAGTTTGTGTTTCGGCCCTGGGAGTCTTTGTATTACTGTCCCAAATGTCATCACCCCTGAAACCCTCCTTGCAGCATGTTAACAATCTCGATGACAGTTTACCAGTCTTCTTGCTCTTACTAAAAAATAAAAAATAAATAAAAATAAAAATAAAAAAAACGTTTCAACGAAGGCCTGTGTTGCAAGTATGAATTATTAATTCGAAATATTTTGACCCATTAACATAATTCAAGATAGTATAATGTATCAGGGAACCAACTTCCTCAACTGCACTCATCATAATTTTGCTACGACTAACAAAATAAATGATTTATTTCACTTTTTCCATCTCAAACATGCACTTCCAACCTTTTTGGGCCTCCTATTTTCAAACTAATTACAACTATGTTCAAGTATTCATTTAACTTTTTCCAAATCAAACATAGACTTGCAAACTTTTTTTAGCTTATTTTGAGAAACATTACAACCATGTTAACTTAGGGGTCCAAGAAGAAACAACAATAAGAATTGAAAAAACATTTCCATGTCAACAAACCAAGAGTAGTAGTGTGATGCAGCTAATCATGCAACCAATCAACATCCCAACTAATTTGACAAATTAAAACAAAGACAAACCAACAAGAATCAAATATTTGAGAAAGAACAGGAACTATAACATTTGTAGAAAGTTAACATGTTATTAGCCAAAGATAACTATACCAACAGACTAGAACAAAAAAGAGCATAAATTTTTACCCAAAACTAAAAACTAAATAGATAAAAATTAATAATAATAATACTAATAATAAGAATAACAAGAGAACATCATGAAAGCTACCACACAGATAGTAACAAAGTTAATTAAGTAAAATAAGAGAAGGAATCCAAATATCATGATCAAAGAAAATACACTCCAAATAGCATTATTATTAATGAATAATGAGAAGCAAAAAAATAAACTAACAAGTTCATTTCTCTTATTTTAAAGAAAGATACATACCCCAAAGATATAGACAAATCCATTGGAGTAGCAATCATAGTGCCCTCATCTCTCACAAGGATTAAAACCCATGACCTTTGGATAAAGCCACATTGCCTTCTTTGCAACTTCAAGTCCCAGAGAACCCATTGTCTTTCTCTCTCTCTCTCTCTCTCTCTCACACACACACACACACACACAAACACAGTGACTTTAATTCCTAACCCACTGCTCACTTCTTCACAAACATGCAGAAACAGGGGAACATAGAAATAAAGGGTCAAAAGGACATGAACAAGCCAACTATCAATGTCAATACACATGAAAAGATGGGCGCTTTGAAATCCAAATCACTGTTACCACCAACAACAACAGAACATTGTGGTGAAAAGAATCTGCATTAGTTCTCCTTCACTCTTTCATATATCTTATTTACTCAATAGGTTTTTTTTTACTTCATTGTTTATTTGTTTCCTTACTTTTCCCACTTGTATAACTGACAATGATGAAATGTGGGAGCATTAGTTTGTGGGAAATGATGGGAAGGTCTTCGGCTTATTTTGAAAAACATTACAACCATGTTAAGTTATTTATAATGAACAATCATAACTCTCAATGGAAACTTACATGTCATACACTGGAAACTTTATTCTAACATATTCAATTAGAAGTGTAAAACCTCCATTTCTTATTATACAGAATATCCCAAATATATTGTACTACTTATCACGAATGAAACACTGCATTACAGGAATACAATGGAAATTTTATTCTAACATCTTTAATTGGAAGTTTAAAACATAACATATAATACAGAATATAACAACTTTTTCACAATTTCATGATATAATTTTCACAATTTCTGATTCAATTTTTCACAATTTAATAATACTTCAATAATAACCAAACAAAACTAATGAAACACAACGTTATACGATCCACAAATTCACTTACAAAACCAGTAAACTGTAGCTTCGTCTTCCTCGGCCATAAATCAACCACACGACACTGCACCTTCCTCTTCCCCACCGTTCAATCAATCCTTTCAAAGAAATTGTAATTTTGGAAAGACCAAAATTAAAGAAAGTTGGGACAATGTAGGAAAGACCAATTTATTTCTTTCTATATTTTGGGAGAGAAGAAGAAAGAAGATTTAGAACAGGCGCTATACCTTTGTCACTGTAGCTTCCTCTTCTCCGCCCTTGAATCAAACCTTTGAAAAAAATTGTCAATTTGGAAACAAGGAAGAAAAATCAGGAGAGAAAAACAATAAATAAAATTAAATATTTAGAAGAGGTGATTCGTCACTGTAGATTCCTCTTCTCTGACGTTCAACCAAACCAACCAAACCAAACCTTTGGAAATAAATTGTAAATTTGGAAAGAAGAAAGAAAATTTGGGAGAGAAGAAAAAGAAAGAAGATTAGAAGAAGAGGCGCGGAAATTGTAGATTTGGAAAGAAGAAAGAAAAATTGGGAGAGAAGAAGAAGAAACAAGAAAGAAGCTTAGAAGAAGAGGCGCTAAATTTGTTCTAGAATTTTCAATTTGCCGCTTAAACATGAGTTTCAATTTCTGCAATTTCATATCTGTGTGTATGTATAATTTCGTCTGTGTGTGTATTGTTTGTATATGTATCTATGTGTGTATATACTTTTTTTACCCAAAGTCCTGTTTGGACCTTTTTACCACTGCTATAATGGCTGAACAGTGCGAACAGGCGGGAACAGATTATACTATTCCACAGGAGAGGATTCTGGTCCCATGGCATTATCCCAAAAAGTGGACCAACAACAAAAACATTTCATCCACGTGTGTGTGTATATATATATATATATATATATATATATATATATATATAGCAAATTCCATCCACATACATATCCTCATAATAAATGCATCATAATGTGGCTCAACAATAAAATAAATTTAGAATATTGGACATGCAACATGGAAATATCAATGACCATATCATCAACTGATTTATATTGGTCACTTTCAACAACAAAATTCTTGACACCACCAAACTCCATATATACATATAAATTTACTTTTACCATGTTTAGTAATTTTTGATGTTGAAAGTGACCAATATAAATCAGTTGATGATATGGTCATTGATATTTCCATGTTGCATGTCCAAGACCCAGTGGACGAGTTTAGGCAGCACCACCCCACCCCACCCCCCAAAAACCAGAAACTACCCATAATAAAAATAAATAAAAAATTTACTCAATTGCATCGTCCAAGTATGGGGACTCCTTTGTTGGCAAGACAGTCAGTTCATGTGTTGAATGCGCAGTCAATTATGTGGAAACAGGAGAAAAAGACCTTTCAAAGAATGGTAGATGTAACAATTATTTATGTTTAAGGTTGAGAGCATAGATCATCTTGGCAACACCAGGTGTCCTCAAGATAACCCATAGTAGGGGTGCACACGGTCCGCTTTGGACCGAATTAGGAGTATTTTGGGACTAAACCATTTATAATGGTTCCACTATTTTTCAAACCAAACCGAACCATAATGTCCATGGAACCAAACCAAACCAAAGTGCAAAAAACCGGTTTGGTTGGTTGGGTTTGTTAGTTTAAGTCGATTTCCTTTTTATTTTATTTTAATTCAGAGGGGGCAAAGTTTTTTGAAAAAAAAAAAAAAAAAAAAATCAACTAACATTGATATAACACGCAAAAAAAATAATAATAATAATAATAAAAATAAAATAATAATAAAATTAAGAAGAAATAAAAGAAAGAAAATTGAGATATATTTGAAAAGAGAAATTTGACTTTTTTTAAAAGAAATTTAAAGAATAAAAAGAAATAAATGGGACACGTGAGAACTTTACTTGATTTAGGTTTAGGATACGATATACATATATAAATATATATATATATATATATATATATATATATATATATTATATAATATAGTAACGGTTCGGTCCGGGTTGGTCCGGTCTAGCACGACTCTAAACTAGGACCAAACCGAAAAATTACGGTTCCATAAGTTTGGATCCAAGATCAGACTAAACCGCTATACAACTGAATCAAACTGCCCAATTCAGTTCGATCTGATCCAATTTTTTAGTTTACCGAATTTTTTAAACACCCTTAACCCATATTACTAGTACTAGTCTTGTTCTATTTAAAAGCTACGTACGTGATGATTGCTACCCAGTGGTGGCAATTACACAGGAAGAGATTGCACAGGTGGACACTATTTATGAATTTCTTTATCAATTCCATTACCTTTTCCTTCTCCATGAGTTTCCAACATTTTATCCTTAATTGACCAGGGAGTTGTTCTAAGTTGATTTTGCTGATTTTAGAATTTAATAAATTAGGCTTGAATAAGATGGGGTATTATGACTCCGAAATTTTCTTTACTTTTGAGCCTCCAAGGAAGATAAGAGATGTGTCACCATTGGTGTTCTTTTGGAATTAGATAATTAAGGTACAAGTTTATGCAAGGTTAAGATTCAGTATTAAATGGTATACAATTTTGTTCATATTAATATATGATACAAAACTGAGGTTCTTTTTTTTTTTTTTTGAAGTGGATAGAATTGATGTAGGACACTTTTATTTTTATTTTAGACTTCTTCTCATTATTATTTTTTATAATTTTTATTGGAAGTTTAGTTTTAATTATTTTTCTTGAAATTGTTTTCCTTTTTTTTTCTTTTTTTTTTTTATAACCCAGAACTTCCCAAGACAAGACCCTTACGGACCCCCTCCAGGAGCACCAAATTGTTTTCCTTTTGATATTAGGTTTCTTTATGTTTTACTTTTCTTATAAAGTTAGGTTTTCTTTTATTATAAATATGTGTACTCCCAAGTACAGAAAAAACTTTTATTCATTCAATTATCAATAATATATCATATTTCTCTTAATTATCTCTTCGTTTTATGGATTCAAAACATATACTTTGTGTATTCAAAGTAAATTGTTCCTTGTGAATAAATTTATTGCTTCTGCTTACGTCAAATTGTGAATATCATGTTCTTATCATCTAGAGGAGGAGGATTGCTTTTGCCATTAAATGGTTGCATATAAGGCTTGGTTCCATTGCTTTAGGCCCCACCATGGTTGGGCAAGTAGGGTTTCTAGTTGGAAAGATGATTTTGACAAATCATGAAAATCACTTGCACTTACATATATGCGAAAATAAAATTTTCAAAAACCCACAATATAGCTTGGAGGCGTGTAATCATTTCTTGAAGATAGTCGAACCCACCCATAAAGTGCAAAGAATTGTGGTAGCTCTATCTCCGAGATTAAACCAAGACTGGACTCGATCCAATTACAACATTTTTGCATGATAAACTATTGGGTGCAACACTTAATCTCTTTACAGAATGCCCAAATATGATAAACAAAAGAGAAAACTTCTAAACTTAGACTTAAGAAAAATTGAATATGAGATATGATTGAACTTGGCCATACTTGATCCATATTTAAGTGAGAGAAATATAGTCCTTATATAGGACCTCTCAAGATGACCCATATAGACGTGGACAACCTTCAAGGTAGATGAATTAAGAAGATTCATGTTTCAAGACAATTAATTTAGATAAATACATTCATGTATTACATTAATCAAAATGTATCCCATAAATGTGATGAAATGAACTTAACATAGTTTATCATAGAATTAGCTGAGTCAATTATAATCACTAAGAATACTAAATGTCAAGTATGAATAAATCTAAATATATCTCATTTGTTGATGCATAAACCAACCAACTACATGCATATATATGTGAACACACTTAAAACTTAATTACTCAAGGGGAATGAATCAAAATAATTAGACTTTAATTATATACCTATATATTTTCAAAAACATTATAATAATATTTTGAAACATATTCAAACATTTCCTCCAGGCATCATGTGAAGCAATGGGCAGGGAAGGTCTGATGGATATATCATGGCAAAAGTTTGCCAACAATGGGAGGCTTTTTATGGTACAAAGGCAACGCAAGGCATTGTTATTTTTGTTAAGCTGCCTCCAGTGTATATACAAACAGTTTGTATATATAATTTTCCAAAAATACAGGAAAATAAATCAAATAAATTTTTAAAAATATATATAAAAATACTAGAAAATTTCCATTTCTTCCTCATCCGATCAACTGCAAAATAATCAA